GGCCCCGGCCGGGAGGAGACGGGGTCAGCCCAGGAGACTGGCAGGGAGACAGAGACCGGCCTGAGAGGAGCAGCAAGAGGGAAGAGCTGCCGAGAGCTGCCAGGGAGAGCTGGGTTCAGACGGGCGGGCACAGAACCGCTGCGGAGAACTGCCCCAAGCTGGGGCCCTGCTGAGGGGACGGCCTGGGCAGTTGCCCCTCAGCAAAAGGGAGGATCCAGGTTGGTCAGCGGAAGCCAAGGCTGGGTGCAAGGGGATGGGCGTGTCCTGGCCAGGGGTGGGACTCCCAGGCAGGGGAAGCTGTCTTGTGGGGTACCTGCCCTGGGGGCCAGGGTGGAGTCAGGAGACTGGCCACTGTCCGGCAGGGGGGCCTGGATGGGGCCCAAGGAACTGGGACCGCAGCGCGGCTGTGAACACTGGGGAGCGGGAGGCGCTGGCCCTGAAGCGGGGAAGGTTCCTGTGAGTTTGTCGAGAATGGTTTTACTGTCCGGGTTTGGGGGGATTCCTGCACTGGTGCATGTGAACAGATTATACCCTGAGGTGGGCTTTGTATCTGGCACTACAGACAGCCTGGCTGGCTGCGCTGGGCCTCGTGGGTCCCTCCATAGCACCGGGAGTGTGAGCGGCAGGGGGCGGGGAGAGAGACGTGTACCAGGCCATGGGTGACCCTGCCCCAGCCGCGCCCTCGGCATCCCGTGGTGTTTGGAGAGCCCAGGCGGTGCCGTTGGGAGGGGCAGCCGGGGGCAGCCTGTGACGCTCAGTGTAGAAGGAGCACAAGCAAGCTGAGCTGTTCCCGTGACCCGGCGGCCCAGCTTCTCCTCAGGCAGCAGCTCCCACCCCAAACACCCACAGCTTGTCAGAGCAGCAGCTGGGCATAACCTCCCTGGGCATCCCCCCACCTTGGGGCACCCTGGGCATTGCCCCCAGGCCGTCTGTGTGTCGCGCTCACACCGGGCAGCCACCCCCTGCCCCTCCAGGTCAGTCCCTCACCCCAGCTGGGCGGGGCCGTGTCCCTGCCTGGAGAATCACTGCAGGTCTCACCATGGGGGCCAGGGGAACGGACAGCAAGGGCTGGGGGGGGGGGGGGCATGCCAGCC